CTTCTGACATTCATTCAAATTTAGATGAAGAAGACAAAAACTTTCCTTATGTACGTGCCATATGTAAACCACTTTATGATTAGTACGAAATGCAAATAGTTGCATGAGAGCAAGTTGTATCCTATTTTCGTTTCCCTCCTCCCACTAGACGAGAAAGAGAAAAACACAATTTTCCTAGTGCTTAAGACCAAACGATTCGTTGGATCATTGGTCATTTATAATTGAAAGGCAATAACTAGGAAAAATTAAAGTCTTGGGATTTTTGCTGATTACAAGCCTTTCTGAGTCCCCTAACTGTGCCAATGGTATTCATATACTGCCCATTGAGAGCAATGCACTGCGGCTTATAATGGAGTTGACTTCCTTCATAGAGGCACCTTGTCCAGAGATTACCTAAGCGATCATCAAAAAGCGAACCCAATTATTAGGTTGGCTAAAAAATAAGCTCGTCCTGGCATGCAAATCTTCATAAAAAATTTTCTAGCTGTTTTCCATCCATGATTTTTTGTGGGAAAATAGTTCAGAGTTTCCTCTATCACATATCAAATATTTGGAAATTTCTAACGTCAGTCCTCAACATGGCTAAATTTCCAAAAGCTCAATTCGTTGACTTCTTAAGTTTCGTTTTCATGCTGTAAGATGTAGAGAAGAGCAGTTCGGTATCAGGATACAGAGGAGTTTCCCCTATTTAGTAAATGACAATAAAAATTGCGATCTGCCACTTTGAAAATCTTTTATCAAAAAAAAACCAAACTTCCTCATATTTGCGCACGATGAGAAAATTAGGATTTCAAATTTTTTGTGGATTTTTTTTTTCTTCGAAAGATATGTTCTACTCATACAAAATTTATACTCCAATTTTCAATGAAGTCTGCTCCAGAGAACCGAATACTAATAAAAATTTGTTTGCAGCATTTGTAAAAGCCGCAAAAGCGAGCGAACTTATTTATTAGCCAATCTAATATTTTTTCAAGTATCTTGGTGTAGCCTTTTTAACTTCAAATACGTATGGTCCTAAGGCGCTGAAACATTTTATCGAATATTAGGATAATGCTAACGACTGGTAGATCTGCGTTGAAACAAATGAATAGTCGTATAAGTTCTGATCATATCAAAGCATTCACTTCATCTAAATTATGTAGGAAAAGTTCCAAAATCTGTGGCGTGGTAGTAGTATTCAAATAATTTGAGTTAGCACACAAAGTAAGTTTAGCAAACCTGAAAAATGTCGCTGGATTAAGATGAGAGTATAGTTGACTAAGCAAACGCCCACATAGATCACAAAGATCGAGAAAATCAGTGAAGTTCGGGACATATTATTGAATTAGTATGATGTATCGACATATGTAGTCTGCCTAGCATGTGAAACATTCCACGTCGGCCTTGTATGCTCTAAAAAGCCATCCAATAATTTACAGAAAAGTTATTGTTGGCGTGAATTCGAAAACACGAATTTCAGAAATCAAAACTATATTTTCTGAATATTAAAAGGAAAGGAAACTGGATGGAAAGTCAAACTACATAGTTATGCAAGAGAGTGACTGACAATAGAGAGATAGGCGATTTTTTGCTTGAAGGCAGTCATCAGTGATAATAAGCTTACGTGACTATTTTTTTGCGTTCAAGCTAGTGGAAACATCATTTGGGAGGACGAAAAAGGAAGAGATATTCGTTTAATGGAAAAACCTAAAGGATTTTGTGGAAATATATTAGAAAACTTGAAATGAGAGATAGAATTGAAGCAATGCTGACTTTTGCTGGATGATGATTGCAAAAGAAATATCTCCATTTTTTGTAAAAGTAAAAGTTTGGCGGAATACCATCTTAAAGTTTTGAATAGGTCACAAGCAGTGACGGTCTGGTCTTTTTTTTAGCGGAGGGGGATGGATCTGCTTGCTGGCTGGAGCAGGGCACGACGCAGGTGGCTTACCAAGCAAGCTGGATATCGTTTCTGGGGAAAAAGCAAAGGGGATATCGTTTTTACGGAAAGGTAGATATATCGCTGTCTTTCGATCTGCCGCCGGCACGCTGCCCGCATACCGGCAGCATGCTCTCCCAATCAAACAAAGGGCTTGCTTACAGCAAAGTGAAGATGAAATGGCATCAAAGTAGGTGCGTAGATGGGCGATGGGGAGCTAGGACCAAGTATGAAAAATTATGAAAAAATTATACGAGCTGAAGGCGTGCTCAACTTTTTTCAGAGTTAGGTGGCTTTCAAGTCACCTGGAACCCAGCCGAGGTGGCTTGGGAATGGAAAAGTCATAGAATTTTCTTTTCTCACATTATTTTGTTACATTCTCCAAAATCTCGTCTACATCCCAAACCCTACAAACTGCTTCCTAAACTGCCTCAAACCATCTCCTCCCAGCTTAGTCATAGCCCCCTGAAAATTTTGAATGCGAGGGCAACACTGCTCCGGGCGCGTAGTGCTGCGCGCTGAATACATTATGCCGGCATTCCAGAAATACGAATATCATCGCGTTTGTTTGATGCTTCTTTGGCTTCTTCTGTTTTGTTCTGTTACTTTTCAGGTGTTTTCTCTCTTATCTCAAGGCGGATGTCGAACTTTCATAGTGAAGTCAAGGGAGACTTCGTTTTCTGCAATTCTGGGAAGCCACTTATGCCTAAGTGCAACATTTATGTGCTTGATATCATGTAAAAATGTTAGGAAATTTATAAAGGAGTCAACATAATTCTCAACTACAGGGTGTCCGTAAAGTAATGTATACACTGTTTGCTCGTTTATATCTCTTTCCCCAAGAGGTCTTTTGCCTTGCTTTAGGTACCGTTTTGTAGAGCTGGCTTCAACTTAGATTTACAGTATGGAGCGAATCAATCATCTCTCTTCATCACTGCAGGATTACGGTAGAAACTTCAAAGAGGGTTTTGAGCAATGAAAGGCCATATTTTGCCTTAGAAAGGAAACAAAACAGCCTAAGAAATTTTACACTAGAAAAATTTTTTTTAATTTTCCACTTTAATTAAAGTTGCTGATTCTGACTGTACAGTTTCCAACTTTTTATGATGCGTCATTGAAGAGTTATGCCGGGTAAGAGGTAGCGGCCATTTTTTCAATGTTCCTAAAAAGTGCGGTTACACCGTTTAGAAAGCTTCGCAATCTTGCGAATAGTTGAGTATCGAACTCAGCGTCCATGAAAACCCTATTACACAAGTTTTCACATTTTTTTGAAAATTTTTGAAACGGAAGCTTTTTCCACAGTGACACCATGTTTCAAGTTTCTACCGTAATCCTACAGTAAGGAAGAGAGGTGGATAGTTCGTTCTATACTGCAAATCTAAGTTGAAGCCAGCTCTACAAAACGGCACCTGAAGCAAGGCAAAAGATCTTGGGAAAAGAGATATTAACGATCAAACAGTGTATACATACTTTACGGACACCCTGTATAATATCAAACTCCTACCTTTTTCAAACTTTTTTGTTGGTGTTGTTAATGGTGCCTGCTTATTTAATCAAACATGATCACGGATGTGGATATGGGAGTTTTTTCACGCATACAAAATGAAATTATATTGTTTCGTGATGCGTGAATGAAAATTTCGTACCAATCACAGAAAATCAAACAGAAACAGCAGACCACAAATGCTATTCGCTACGTAGAGGAAACATGTTGTTCCAACCACTAAATCACTCATCTGCACATAAACCAAGCAGAGCTTTGTAGTTAAAGTGAGTGTTCAGGAATTTTTTCAATTTATTTCTTAATTACAAAGCGCGCCTCTCTACCATCTCACTTTCAGAAGAATACTCAGGAAAGAAAGTAGATTCCTAGAGAATTTTTAGATTTTTATCTAACAGGCTGTAGATAAATTTCTCGTATCAATTACACATCACTTGTACGAGTATTTCCAAATAAACATATGTACAGTTCTCGCTAAAGTAACAGTTCATTTTACCAGCTCAAGATAACTTTCTGGATGACCTTAGGCGAAACGCTAATCATATAACGCAACTTTATGAAACCCGTTTATTGAGCTGAGGATGGCGATTTAATCGAACCAGACAGATTTCGAGGTCATAAATAAATGAATGCAACAAAAAAAGGAATACAGTTACCCTGTTATCATAAATATGAAGATATTGAACACCAATATGAAGCATAATTCCTGCAAACCGACAAATATGATAGAAGCACCGAAGATATTAGCCTAGTAGCTGAGTTGGATCGATGCCAAAGCAATGAGGAAAGGAGTAAGACCTCGCAAGTTATAATTGAAAATCATGGACCAGTATTTTAAGAGTAGCAGATAATAGATTCTGATCTGACATCGATACTTGCTGGAAGAGGTGAAGGTAATTTTTTTTCTGAGACTCTCAAGAAAGCGCCTAAAAATGGAGGCAGACGGACGAATCCTAAGGGTAAACGGGGGATCCTATGCGGTAACGAGGGCAAAATGAAATAGCAGCAATAACAGGTATAATTTGAGTATGTACAACCAAAGTTACATAGAAGCAGCGTCCAGGCAGATCTACATACATACAGTTAAGTTTTTTTTCCTTATACGGAAATCGTTTGAGAGCTCCTAACCAAGACGTTGTCCAAGCGCCAGCTCATTGCTTCATTCGTAGCCAAAAAATCCAAAGTTTAACACCAGCCCACACCGTGCTTTCTGCAGTACTCCGAAGACGCTTGATGCGTTCAAATATTACGGTCTGGGCGAGAGTTTAGAGGTGAATTTCTCAGCCACAAATGCTTCTTATGGGTTGCAACTTGGACGATGTCATAGCTAAGGCCTCTAAATCAACCACATAAAAGTCTAAGCATCCATTTTGCCTAGATACTGCTTCTAGAAATTGTAGGGATGGATGAGAAGACGATTTATAACATTTTGTTGTAGAAGCCAAGTCCTGGACATACAATACTGTCCTGTCTTTTGCAAAAAAAGGTTTTTTGCGTCGCATGTAGCTTCCTTCAAGATAATTGTTCTTTTTTCTAGAAAGGAGAAACACTTGACGAGAGGAATCTTTTCATTTTTTTTCCGTCCGAAATGACCACTTCAAAAAGAGTTACTTTAGCGCTGCGACATTAAAGGACGACTTTTCTCTACGGTCACGCAAATCTTTTCCGCAGACGACAAGGCAGTATTGTATGTGCATAAAGCTGATTTTGCAACAAATAACTGGAAAGACATTGAGCGCTAACAGTCTACTAGTGAATCATTTAGAAATCTTCCTTTTCCAGTGACTATAGCCTGTCTATCAGACCTTGACGGTGATCCACATATTCAAGATTTTGAGAGTTCTGTTAAGATATATGTTGGCTTTCTGCCAAGACCGCACTTCACACCATTTCAGCAATGTCCAACTTCTTTTGTTCGCCATTGGTCTGCGATGGCGCACGAAGGATTGATGGTCGCATCGAATGAATAGTAGATTGTACTGTCAGCTGAATATTGCAGTTTCAGATAAATATAAAAAATGCCAAGAAAAACTAAGTGAAAATTAGCAGCTCAAAAAGAAAGTTTAGTAGTAGTTACGTAATTACATGAAAATTCATCAAAGTTCTGCAAACTTCTGAAATCTTATCCAAAGCAAATCTCCACAGGCTGCAAAAAGAGGAAACTCGTATATAGGGGCCTGCAAGATCGCGAGAGTCGGACGTGCGTATGGAGATTGCGCCGCGCACGTCTGATGTCACCAAAGCAGGTGCCAGACTTATCCGCTTCAACCAGTTCGTTCGGTTCATAGGTCAAATCACTAAACTGTCCAACAGAAAAGGTGGTGAACTGAAGAACCTGTCGAACAAGATAGGTCTGGCACCTACCTGAGTCGTCGGACGCGCATCTGACGTGCGCGGCGCACCGTATGCACGTCCGACTCTCGCGATCCTGCAGGTCCCTATACTACGCTATATGCATTTTTTGAGGAAGTAATTTTGAGTTCAACTTCCCCCTTCTCCCTAACTTCCCCCTTCCTAAAATACATAGAGAAACAACTGAACAGCTCCCAAATGGGAAATGATATATTCACACAGTAAACGATGCACGTGATTGTTGGTAGCAAAAACGAACAAACCTGTTCATCGGCTTCCGGTACAACGCTGAGCTTCTTATCGCTCATCTTGCGCTGTGCATTCAATTGCAGGTATACGGAGGAAACAGACTTTACTAATTCCTGTAAGCCAAATTTTGATGTAACTGCTAAAATAGAGGCTTCTCGCCTCCGGATACATTATGAGAAATTATTTTACCTGGTCATCCTCACAGCGATTGATCAACTCCTTTGATTCGTGAGATGAGGAGTAATTTGAATCGCTCCTAGAAAATATGCTGAGAGATAAGAGAGATATAAGTGATGTAACATAATGCAAGACTTTTTCTACATAATTCGCCATGGTTTGATTGTCTCACTACCAGAAAATTCATTGAGCTCAGTATCATAAGGGGTTGAACTACGAAAAATGATTAGCACAATTCGATACTGTGAAGTTTTTGGGCAATTATTTAACTGACCTCGAACCGGAGAGGAACGAAACCATTGCATCTGGACAAGTCGCCATTGACACCAGCCAGGCGAAGAACATAACACAGCAAAGGATTACAATTACAATGATTGCCAACAACTCATCCATAACCTGAAAATGATAGCTATGAGTATTTTGATCCCAAACTTCAAACACGTAATTCGGAGATGCGTGAAAAAAAGATAAATGATAAACATTAAACGAAAATGATAAACGTTGATAAACGAAAATGATAAACGTTGAACGATTTGACGTGAAAAGCAGATAGGCAGATGATAATGTCGTGAACTATTATGATTTTGTATTCGTTCCTTCCAATTTTAAAACGCCAAAAACAGCAATGAGGAAGTGACCTGAGCTAGGCACGACCTGTTATCGAACGTAGCAGAGACTTTTACAGCCCTTGCAATAAAATTGCGTAGGTCCCAACAACATGTAAACAAGATTCAAGCATACCTACAGCCGTAGACAGAAAAGCGTACAAGGGCTGCATGTAGATTTTTATCAACAAAAAAAGTACCACCTCCGGGGAGATAGGTTACTCAAACGCTCTTTGAGAGTTCCAGAAAGCGGGATGGGTATCATCACATCATAATTGAAGTTCATAAGAAATGCAAGCTCAGTTCGCCCCTGCTTTCACGCATCGCTTCAATTTGGAAGGAGGAACACTCTCAGATGGTTCGTAATCCAACCTTAGCAATTTATTTAGGAAAAAAAACCGGAAACGCTGTCAACATAGCCGGTCCAAGATCGTAAACAAAGACGATCGCAAGTCTTCAAGGCCAGTAAAGGCATGATTGAACGGAATCAAAGGTACATGGAAATGTATGGTAAATTTTGGCGAAATCTAGCAAGGAAAGTTGCTTGTGCTAGAAATCATTTTTCAGTTGAGTCCCGACAATCAAAAGATTCTGCTTCATAGAACTGAGGAAATAGATGGGAAAACATAACTTCTATATTAAAGGCAGAAGCCCAAATGGAGCGGAAGAAATTGGCGAATTTGGAAGCTCCATGTTCGTTAGTGGTAAACGCCAGTAAATACATTTTGTTTGAAAAAGCAGCAAGTTAGTCCATCGAACCAGTGGCGTACCGAGGGGGGGGGGCGGGGGGGGGCGCGCGCCCCCCCCGAGAATGGGTCGCGAAATTTTTGAAAGTTACTTATATGGGTTATAAAAATGTGCAATTGACTTGTTTATTTTTGTAAATAATTAAAATAATTTTTAAAAATTTCAAAAATTCAAATTAGCTTTGTAAAAAAATTTTTTTCGGGGGCGTGGCTGGCGCCACGCCCCCTTTTTTCCAGATTTTAGGGGTCGGAGACCCGCAAAAGTTTTGAGAACCACCCCAAAAATTTTTTCGGAGTGCGTGGCTGACGCCACGCACCTTCTTTAGAAAAAAATTTTTGTCGCGCCCCCCCCCCGAGCCGAAATCCTGGGTACGCCACTGCATCGAACAGATGCCTCATTTAGCGTGAAGAGAATGCCTCCATTTTACTGAGAAATTTCGAGAATTTCCTATCCTAGAGAGACAGAGGACTTGTGGGAAGCAAGTGGGATTCATCATTTATATGGCAACATTTGGTTTACCAAGAAAAACTGCAGACAAATGCAAAAAGAATCATCGTATAGGATTCTAAGATTATCTGAGTAGACAGACGCAAGAAACATTCTGAACCATTAGACATTACGAAAAGATCTGTAGTGACAAATGAATGGCGAATCAGCGGTGTCAAATGATTTGCACATGCTCTTCCTTATTGCAAAAATATGTCCACTGATGGAATATATAGCGACAGAAATTTCCGATGATAATCGTAAAAAACTCTGCGTGCAGCTATCTTTAGCAAAGGGTAAAGAGTGCTTAATCCGATTATAGTGATGTTCTGAACAGAAAATATCGTACAGTTTGTTATCACAAGCATTCCTTTCATATTGGTATGAATTTGCAAGCAAAGAGCGATTCAGTATCCACCTAAAGGATATGGCCCATCATCTACATCACTATGGTTGGATAGATGTACACCACTACTTTGAAACTTCCTCAAGAACTGCACATTTCCCAGAGGCCCATTCGCAAAGCGCACAGCATATTGCGCACGACTAGATGGTTTCAAGCAAGTAATTACGAAAAAAAAACTCATCTAAAAGGATGAGAAATTTCACCTCTTTGGATATCTTTGCTGGGAAAATTCGTGCACTTGTGCATGAATATTGCAGCATTTCATTTCTACATACTTGGAACACACACACCTGCATTGTAAAAAAAAAGCGAGCTAAGATATTTGGCACAAAGGAGAGGATAAGGGAGGATCCATTTGTATCTGTATTGGAGGAAAATCCGCTGGAGTATCAAACACAAATTTGGGGCTCTTTGAAGATCTAATCTAAAACATAACGAATCGTAAGGTGCATTCAAGAATTATCAGATAGCGGGCAACCGAGCGGGTCCCAAAGCGAACGCACCTTCTAGCACCTCTGAGATCACTAATTATAGTTACTCGTTATGTATTAAGTTATCTCATGATTCTTCATACTTGAGCCATGAATTTCACATTTTTCAAGAACTAAGATGCCACAAGGGTGCACTTTTAAGACTATAATTCTGACAGAATGCTATCACCACATTCATATGTGGGAGGAACACAAAACCGCTGAAAGCAAAACCGTTTTTGACGTTTTGATTATATAGTAAATGTATTTATGATCGTCCGATTTGAATATATGCTTGGAAGAGGAGGAGGTTACATGGAGCGGGAACCGACTTGTTTTCTTTGGCATTCGCGATTCCTTTCCGTTTTGACTTCAAAATCTATGTGGGTCAAACATTGTGTACATATTTGGAATTCGTCTTGTAGAGCTTCGCTCTAACGAATAGTATCTCTAAAGCCTCCCTATACCCTCCCTGTCCCTACCCAAAATTTGAGAAGACTATGACTTATAACAGCAAAAAACAAATTGAAAAAATTGCAAGAAAGCCTAATAGTTCGCGCATCGTATTCTTCATTGATATACTCGACTAAATTCTTTGAACAAAACGCATGGGAGAGAAAAGTGAGTACAGCACAAGAACAATCACTTCAAGTGACAATTGAAGTGAATGAAGAACGCCCGCACAAAGCAACGTTACGTTCTTATCAAATTAGCACACAGACATGCCGGCTATTGCTACGGTCAAAAGTTGTCACGAGTGCAAGTATGGAATGTTTGAAATTTTTCGCAACATATGTGTATTAACTGCAAGAGTAGCGCTACTTATAAGCCATGGCGGTTGTAAGAACTTGTAAACAGAAGTAAACACAAAGCATGGCCGATTTGCTTCCATAGAGAATTCAGAAAAAAAACCTAATCAAGGAGAAATGGACGCCTTCCACGAGCTCGAAGTAAACATTCTTTCCTTGTAGGCAAGATTGTGAGAACTCACTGTTATGCGGATATTGACCAAAAACCACTGTAAAGCAAGAACATCTGGCAATTTCGAAAGTAACCATCTACAGATGAATAGTAGAGATACAGTAGTTCTTGGCTGAAATATTTCCTCTTCCTATTTCCTTCCCTTACCCGAGCCACATTAGCCTACCGCATAAAAAAAAGCTGCATAGGAAGAAAAAGACAAAAATCTGCTCAAAAACAAAAATTTTCAGGGCTCAAGCAAAACCACCATCGTATTCGGAAACAGCATACCAGAAAACCAATAATTGGAAAATTCATGGATAAAGCTGAAATTGCAAAAGAGAAAGCTTCAAGCAAAACATTATCTCCCAACAGCTTCATAGAAGAACTCTAAATAATGAATTTGAAAGTTTTGCCGAAATCTGTGAAAACAAGTTTAGTATTCAAAAAATATCAAGGTTTCAAGCAAAACCGCCATATATTCGAAAATCATGATATCTTACCCGATTTCTACCTTACTACTGAACTCGAAGCTCGAAATTCGAATAAAAGTGATGGCGGTAACCGTGTGCAGAATGAGCCCGTCCCAGGTGCATATTAGGTGCAAATCAGCGTTGCTGTCAGTTCATGACCTCTCATGAACTCCGCCAACTATCGGGGCAAGCACTTCAGGGGTATGTAAGTTCTGTCCCCCCCCCCTTCCCCCCTCCCGACCAGGGCTCGGCACAGGTGGCTTGGTAAGCAAACGGGATATCGTTTTTGGGCCAAAAAGCAAAGGGAGTTTCGTTTTTGTGGCCGAAAAGACACAAAATTTGCGACGTTTTTTAGTCAACATTTCTTTTTTGGGGATTATTTTATGCCTATGGTTTAGGGTCAAAGGAGACTTCGTAAAATTTTGGGAAAGTCAAGAAGGACTTCGTTTTCTGCAATTTCCAAAAGTCACTTCGTGTCGAGCCCTGCCTCCTACACAACAGCTTGAGTGGAACGCTATTTCATAAAATGTAAATTTTCGCAATCCGCGCAGCTAGTTTTTATAAATTGTGGCATTGATACTGAGAATACTCTGTTTATATTTCAGTCTGGTCAGGTTTTGTAAGCCCAGACCATTGCAGTATGTCAAATAGAAATGAAAGGAAACTCAGTGTTTGGAAACCATGACGTTCCGCATGCAAATCTGATTTCCATAAATGGATGGCAACCAAACGAGCCATTGAAAACGCAGTTTTGTTTCTAAGAGATTACCAATCTTTCAACTTCATTCTCAACTTTTTGTGTGATATAAGAAACCAGGAAGCAGGTGACATAATCAAAGTGATCAATCAAGGCCAAGTGGCGGAAACCGAAACGTCCGAAGACAGTGCCGAGGTCAAGAAAAGATGGCAAAGTAAACATTTACAAGAAGGCTGAGTATCCGAAAAAAGTCTCATAGTTATCCGAAGCTTGCCAGACTCCACCAAGTTCCAGAACTATTTATAGAGATATTAGAAAAATCATGTCAAAGGCAAGGATCATAATCTAATTGCACTTCTGGACATTTCAACAAAGTGACAGTATCAGAATGAGCAGATTTCAAAAATAGCAACATCACAAGAGCGCTCGTGATCCATCAATGAGTTGAAAAGAGACAAAAGTGATTCTTTTTGATTTTATAATCCAAGGTGGCAAATGTGTAAACTGTGGGAAATCATATGTTCGAAAGTCACCTTATCAATCATCTTCACTAATTTTT